GCTGGCTGCCTAAGGGTCATGTCGGGGAGCAGAGCCACATCCTGGCTTCCAGGCAGAACTCTGTATTAGGTGCTATCGATGGGGGGAGGAAGAAGGATGGATGAACGGGTACTGAACTCCCTTTTAGTGCCAGGGGAGCGGGGGGTGGATAGATAAAACCCTTTATGGTGTCTGCCCAGCCCACAGTCCACTCTTCCTATCTGAGAACTAACCCCTCCCACAGAGAGAGAGGACCACAGCAACCACAGCTTATCTGTAAGACCCCATCTCTCCAGCTAAACTGACTGGACCGGGGATCCACAACTGACCCAAGCTGGGCCGATAAGATGCTCCCTCTTTTTTGAGTTTTACTGAAATGTAATTTATGTACCATACAACTCACTGTTTTAAATTGTGCAATTCAATGGCTTTTAGTGTATTCACAAAGTTGGCGGTGCTGTCACCACTATCTAGGCCCGAGGCACTTACACCACCCCACAAAGAAGCCTGTAACCTTTAGCCCTCCCTCCCCTTAGTGCCCCCAACAACCTCCCCAGCCCTAGGATACTATGAATCTATTTTCTGTCTCTACAGATTTGCTTATTCCAGACGTTTCCTATAAACGGAATCACGCGGTATGTGGTGTTTTGTGACTTTCGCTTAGCATGTTTTCAACTTTCATCTATGTTGTAACATGTATTAGTACTTGATTTCTTTCGATGGCCAAATAACATGCCATTGTACCAATATGTCACACTTTGTTTACCCATCCATCTGCTGATGAACGTCTGGGTTGTTTTCACTTTTTTTTATATTTTTTAAAGACTATTTATTTGACAGAGAGAGAGAGAGATCACAAGTAGGCAGAGAGGCAGGCAGAGAGAAGGGAAAGCAGGCTCCCCGCTGAACAGAGAGCCCAATGCGGGGCTCGATCCCAGGACCCTGAGATCATGACCTGAGCCGAAGGCAGTGGCTTAACACACTGAGCCACCAAGGTGCCCCTGTTTTCACTTTTTTTGAAGATTTTATTTATTTATACTACTCAGCCATCAGAAACAAAAACAAAAACAGAAACGAAATCTTGCATTTGCAATGACGTGGATGAAACTAGAGGGTATTATGCTAAGAAAAACAAGTCAGTCGGAGAAAGACAATTATCATATGATCTCTCTGATATGAAGAATTTGAGAGGCAGGGCAGAGGGGTCGTGGAGGGCGGGGAGGGAAAAATGAAACAAGATGGGACCTGGGAGGGAGACAAACCATTAGAGACTCTTAATCTCAGGAAACAAACTGAGGGTTGCTGGAGTGGAGGGGGGTGGGAGGATGGGGTGGCTGGGTGATGGACACCGGAGAGGGTATGTGTTGTGATTGCTGTGGATTGTGTTAAGACTGATGATTCACAGACCTGTACCCCTGAAACAAATAATACATTATATGTTAATTTAAAAAAAAAAAACTGGCTCAGTTAGGAGAGTATATATTTGCAGCTACAGTAAAGTTACATAAAACAAAAATAAACATGGAAAAAGTAAAAAAAGATTTTATTTATTTATTTGAGAGAGAGAAAGAACAAGCAGTGGGGAGGGGCAGAGGGAGGGTGGAGAGGGGGAGAGAGAGAGAGAGAAGCAGACTCCCTGCTGAGCAGGAAGCCCAATGTGGAGCTCAACCCCAGGATCAGGAGATCATGACTTGAGTCCAAGGCAGGCACTTAACCAACTGAGTCACCCAGGCACCCTGGGCTGTTTCCACTTTGAGTTATTATTAAGGATGCTATGAACAGGGAGGGGCACCTGGGTGGCTCAGATGATTAAGTGTCTGCCTTCAGCTCAAGTCATGATCCCAGGGTCCTGGAATCAAGCCCCGCATCAGGCTCCCTGCTCAGCCAGGAGTCTGCTTGTCCCTCTCCCTCTGCTCTCTGTTTCTCTCTCAGATAAATAAATAAAATCTTTGGGAGAAAAAATAATGCTATAAATGTGCTACAAGTTTCTATATGAACTATATTTTCATTTCTCTGGGATACATACTTAAGAAAGGAATTGCTGGTCATTTGGAAACTCTACCTTTAAACTTTTGAGAAACTGCCAGACTATTTTCCAAAGTGGCTGCACCAGTCTGCGTTCCCAGTAGTGGCGTATGAGAGTTCCATTCCCTCCTCACCCTCACCAATGTTTGCCATTATCTTCCTTTTGATTATAGGCATTCTAGTGGGTGTGAAAGAGTAGCTCCCTGTGGCTTTGACATACATCTCCCTTATGGCTAATGACGCTGAATATCTTTTCTTGTACTTACTGTCCATTAATATACTTTCCTTGGAGAAGCAGGGAGCCCAATGCAGGACTCAATCCCAGGACCCTGGGATCATGACCTGAGCCGAAGGCAGACGCTTAACTGACAGCCACCCAAGGCGTCCTTCTCTGCCCATTTTTGTAAAATGTGTTGTCTTTGTATTATTTTACTGAGTTGAAATGGTTCTTTATATATCTTGGGTATGAGTCTCTTACCAGATATGTAATTTGCAGATATTTTCTCCCACTCTGTGGTTTGTCTTTTCACTTTCCTGATAGTGTCCCTTGTAACACCAAGTTTTTAATTCTGAGCAAGTTCAATTTATCAGTGTGTTGTTGGTGCTGTTACTTATGCTTTTGGTATCATATCTAAGAAACCATTGCCTTACTCAAAGTCAAGAAGATTTCCATCTATGATTTCTTCTAAGAGTTTCATAGTTTTAGTTTTTACATTTAGGTCTTTGATCCATTTTAAGTTAATTTTGGTATACGGTGTGAGAGAAGGGCTCAATTTCATTCTTTCGTATGTGAATATGGTTGTCCCAGCACCATTTGCTGAAAACCTATTTTGCTTCATTGAATTGTCATGACACACTTGTTGAAAATCAACTGACCACAGATGTGAAGGTTTATTTCCAGATGCTATGTTCTACTACATTGATCTAGATGGCTATCCTCACACCAGTACCAAATTGTCTTGATTGCTGTAGACTTGTAGTAAGTTTCAAAATGAGGAAGTAGAGTCCTCGAACTTTGTTCTTCCTTTTCAAATTACCCTTAAATTTCCCTATGAATTTTAAGATCAGTTTAGCAGTTACTGCAAAGAAGCCAGCTGGGATTTTGATGGGGAGGGTTTCAAGTTCCTGTTCAACCCCTCCTGAACTCTAGCTCCACCTCCTCCCCTGGGTTCTCCGAGACACCCTGGAATCTTTTCTGTAACTTCTGCTTAACCGGGTTACCCTGAGTTTTATTTTCTTATAATCAGAAGACTCTTAACCAGGCACAAGTAAGAACACAGTCCTACATGCTATCCCAAACAATCATCCCAACACCACCTCCCAAGGACTAAAGCACACAAACTGTCCCCCAGATACCCACCAGGGTCCCGATCTCAACCACTGGCCGGTGTCCCCAGCCACCTTGTTACCAGTTCCCTTCCAGGTTACATACATCATTTTTACCAGTTAAATAGGCCCTCAATAAGCACTTGTGAAATTGAACTAGGAACCTAAAACAGCACCAAAAGAAACACTCCTACCACTCTGTGTAGTAATCCTGCTTCGTGCCTACATCCCATTCAATCTATAGATAAGAAGTTCTAGGAAATCAGACACCATTGTGCCCCCTCAACAAGGGATACAAACCCTGAAGTCTGGAGAAGTTAAATGTCTTGCCCAGGAATGACTTGCCCTGAACACTGACCTGCACTGTGGCACACACACCCCATGCCAACCAGCACAGGCACAGGCATACCCATAGTCCCACCCCATCTTCAAGAGTTGCCATAGAAGCTACCTCCTCCTGGCAGTCTTCCAAGACTGCTCCCGCTGCACCTGTGTCACCAACTCTACAAAGAGACAGAAAGCTCTCAGAAAGCAGGGACTGTTTGCATGCACTCCTGCCCTGCTAACCGTTCACCATCACCCTTCTGAGCAAAACAGTCCAAAGTGGGAAGCCTCATGCCCTGTATTCCAGCCCTCAAGAGCAACTCTGCCTTGCCCAGGGACCTGTGCCCAGGGACTACACAGCCAATGCTAGCACCAGATGGCACGTAGAGGGCAGCTGGCCCAGAAAACCTTTCAGCTGAGATGGAGGGTTACAAGCAGGAAAAGCTGCCTCTGAAGGAGAACACTCATTGGAGGAATTCTTCATGCACAAGCTAATTCACATATGGCAGGATAATATTTTGGGCTAGCGACCAATGCTATATTTTCCCTCCTAGAATTCCCTTCCTTTTCAATTCACTCAACTAGAGCAGAAGGTTGGTCACTCACTACCCAGGGAAGGGATGGAGATGGAAGCTGATTTTGTTAAAGTCTGAAGGGGAAAGGGGTCAGGGTGCAAACAAAATGGTTTGCCCAGAAACACCTGGAAAAGGAGCAAAGACAGTGATGGAAGAGGAGAGAGGTGTGTCTGCTCAGGGCTTCCCAGACAGATGAGCAGACGTATGGCCAAGCACGAGAGACAACTTCCAGACCCCAGATCTGTTGTTGAAGCCTCAGAGACACCCAGGGCCGGGCTCACAGGATGACATCTGTGTGGTAACAGATGAGTCAATGACCAACTGACCACACGCACGTGCACGAGCACATGCACATGCACACACACTGGGGTGTTCCATGAAGTTCTAGAACTCTGTGGCCCAATTTTCCAGGTAGGTAGGAATGTCAGAAAGCCTGATGGAACTGGGGCTTCACATAATAATCAAGACAATAGGAAATATAATTATCTTTCTTACGCCCCCAAGTTGTGGCCTAGAAGGCACTGCTATACACATTACCATCAATCTGGCCCCTGCTGTTTCCAGTCCAGCATCTCCCTTCTTCAGATGCCCCAGGAATCAAGTGCCTGGTCCATCCTTTCCAGCCCAAAACCCCTAAGACTGAGATGGAGACTCTGACAAACACAACAGCCCCATTCATGTCTCCCACAACTCAGGGGGAAATGAGGTCCCCAGGGGACCTATGGCCTACCATCATCTCCGATCACTACATAACAGGAAGTGGCTACTTACTTGACCTTTAGGCTCGTCAGCATGGTCTTGTCGATCCTGCCAAGAGAAAAGCAAAGGCTTTGGTCAGTGCTGAGGCTGAAGGCTCCCACCCAGTACATGCAGGGGAGGTGGTCCCTGGCCAGTCCAGACCACCAAGCCAACAGGGTCCTTCAGGGGACAACCACTGCTCGACAGGGGAGCTCTCCTCCAGCCCAGGAAGGAGGGCTGGACCCACACATAACCCTGTGAGGCAGGTACTGCTATTCCTCCCATTTTAGAGATGGGGAAACAGAGGCTCAGAAGGATAACATCATTGGCCCAGTCTGAATCCGGGTTCTGACTCCACACCCAGAGATCGCAAGCACTGTGTAGATGGCATTTCTCTTCATTACACCCACTCCACAAGAGAAGACTGCAAGCCAGCTCCATCGGTCACTGGCACCTAGGCATTCAACACAATGATACTTCCTGGGCTTCTGCTCTGAAAAGATGCCAGCACCAGGGACCCCTCTCCCTGCCCTGCTCCCAGAGCTGCCAGTCCGTGCGAGGAGACAGACCCCACCCCTGAGACAGAAACCCAACAGCAGGCTCCAGGATGCATGGGCAAGTGTGATCTGTCGTGCGTGGGGCTCAGAGCAGAGAGGATCACATTCACGGCAGACTGTCCTGGCAGCCAGCTCCTCCACCCCAGCCTGCACCCACCCTTGCTGGAAGACAAGGCAGGGCTGCTAAGCTCTATTTTTACCCTCTGCATATGCCAGCCCTTATGGCTGGTAAAAGAGGCCCCCTCCTCTCTGCAGAGACAGAAAGGTGGGCAAGATTCCCACTGTCAGTGTCTCCTCTTGCTTAGGGATCACGACCACCAGTGTCACCCCCCCATGTCACCACCAGCCCATGTCATCAACACCACCTTGTCACCACCATCAGTGTCACCACACCTCCATGTCCCATCACCATCAGTGTCACCATCACCACCCCATGTCATCACATTCAGCGTCACCACACTCCCCACCCCATGTCACCACTACTGCCATGTCAGCATGACCATCAGTGCCACATCCAGGATGCCTTCAGCCACCCTCTCCGGGCAGCTCAGCTTTGCCACCGGCTTCCTATGAGGCAATGCTGGAACGGGAGCAGTGTCAGGGCCACACGGGGAGGACACAAAGCTGCCCCAGCAATCACAAGCCAGCACCAAGCCCTTGAGCTGGGAAGCAAGATCCTTTTGCTCTGAGTAAACTCCCAGCACCTTCTGATCTTGGTCCCCAGCAGCAAAACAAGCCACACCCCAAGGCTCCCAACCCAGGTCCCTCCCAGCTTCTTCTCCACTGTGTCCTGGGCCCCTTTCATGGAGCCTCCACAACTGGTCCCCAAGGGTCTCATGAGGCCTCATCCCTCTGGCATGCAGACATTCCTCTTATCCCATTCTGCCCACCAGATGGGGGTAGGGTGACTCCAGGGGCAGATCCCCACATTCTGCTATAAAATTTGTAGCCCAGAGCTACCTAATTGTAACCCCCAATAACAAGCCCTTACACTTTCTTTTCTGGAGGAATCTCTTTTAATTGCTACAACATCTCTCCGTTGTGGATAAGGCGGAAATCACCCACTTTCCCATGGGGAAACTGATACCCAGAGAGGGGAAGTATCCTGCCTGAGTTCTTCAGAGTCAAGGCTGGGGGTGGGGGCAGCACTTAGGAGCAGGACTCCTAGTGTGGCGCCCTCTTAACCCAACCACCCACCACCTGGTGGCACTGTGGGTCACAGGAACCCCAGGCTCGACACCCAGACCCACACCCAGTCAGCAGTCTCTCCACAGGGTCCCACGCTGGGGTGCGGCCCTGGGAGGGCGGGGCCAATGGCCTTGGCAGGACTGAGAGTACAGACACAGCAGCAGCCTGTGTCACTGGGCTTCTCTCTTTCAGAAAGCCAGACTCCCCAGATTCTCCCTGGCGCCTTCTCTCCTCCCCACCACCTGTCCACCCCACCCCATTCCCTCTCCTCAACATGTCCACCCCTGATGCCAGTGGTTCTCCACCCTGGCATCCAATGGAGCTTCTAGAATACCAGCCTCCTGAGATTCTGGTCACAGTCTGGAGGGGACCACGGCTCCAGAAATCTGCCCTTTAGTCTCCAACCCACCCAGCTGGTGTCCATCTCCAGATGATGCCTACTCTAAAGATTTTTTTTTAACTTGACAGACAGAGATCACAAGTAGGCAGAGAGGCAGGCAGAGAGAAAGAGGGAGAAGCAGGCTCCCCGCTGAGCAGGGATCCCAATGCGGGGCTCGATCCCAGGACCCTGAGATCATGACCTGAGCCGAAGGCAGAGGGTTTAACCCACTGAGCCACCCAGGTGCCCCCAGATGATGCCTACTCTAACCCACCAACCCCACCAGGAAGCCCTGCTGTCCCCTCAAACTCAATGAGGCCGATAACCAGATGCCTGTCGTGGGCAAAAAAACATGTCACGTAATCACTCCATAAGCATGGACTGAGCACACACGATGTGCCACGCACACCTTCCTGGTCTGCTTCACACCTCCCAGAGAAGCATGGCTCTCAGACAGAAAGCCTCTCATGGCCCCGAGCCCCGCCCTATAGTGATCCCAGCCTGCCTGACTAGGAAGCAGATGAGGTGATTCGAACCCAGAGCCCACACTCAGCACAGCAACCCCTTGGCCCCAGGGAGGGAGGGGGCGTCAGGGGGGGTGCCCATGAGTAGGCCCCAGGCTGCCCTGTGCCAGCCCTAGCACCATGTCATCCTCACTCTCCCCATCTGCCAAACACGCAGCACCCGCAACTCCTTCCTGCCGGAGGACGGATGGCAAAGTGCCTTTGGAGAGAAGGGAGAGGAAAGTCAAAGTCTGTACACACACAGAAGCGTAACCAGCCAGAAGAGCAGATGGAGCCCACCTCTTCCCAGCCCTGGCGGCCCCTCCTTCTCTCCCTTGCCTCAGTGCTCCCCCACTCAGCCCACCAGGCTCCATACCAGGGCACCCCAAGCCACCCTCCCAGCAGCAGTGGGAACCTTTCCTCTGACAACGCCCCAGGCCCAGAAGCTGAAAGGAAACCGATAATGAAAACCATGAGACCCCACTCCCCAGCTGAGGAGAAGCTGCCAACAGCTGGTAACCAGAGACAAGTCTTTGACCTCAGTCTCCCCATTTTCTGGCCCCCTAGGGAGGGAAGAGCCTCTCCCTTGTTCTGCATGGAAGCCTAGTGGCCTCAAGGACCAGGCAAGAGGCTGGAGCACAAAGCACAAAGCTCAGGCTCAGATGGAGCTGGGATTGGCTGCTCGTGGTGGGAGGAGGGGTATCTGGACACAGGCCTGCCCGTCCCTCGCAGCTCACCCCCACAGCGGTCCAGTGGGCCACAGACACCCCCATCACAAAGTCACACACACACACACACACACACACATACACACACACACACACACACAGATGATGCAGATAGCACACACACACGGACAGGAACACACAAAGCTACGGACGACCAGAGGAGCCAACACCTGCTCAGAAACGCAGAGTGCACACGTGGTCACATGCCGCACACACCTACGCAGCCAGCCACACGCTTCATACACGGCCACCCAGACGGGCAGCTGCAGGCATGCTGCACACAAGCACGCACACAACCACGATCATCACAGAGGCGCCGAAACACACATGGGAGCACACGACAAGACACATTCAACCCCACCCCTCCAGCGATCTCATGCTGGCACCAGCTCCAACATTGTGGGTCCCCTAGATCCTGCTCCAGGGACGGCAAGGAGAAGCTTGCTGTCTGATACCCCACCATCTCCACCAGCCCCTGCATCTCAAACACCCACCTCCCCACAGGTCTCAGGCACAACCCGAGTCCCCTCACCACCCCCCAGGAGGCCGCAGCAGATGCAAGACTTCCCAGCTGGGTTTGCTCCCATCCCTGCGGCTGCCCTCCTCTGCCACCTACCATCCAAAGCCCCCAAAGGAGACGCTGCGCTTCCTGCGAAACATGGTTGTAGCCGGGGGGCCCCGGGTCCCGGCAACGTCCCCGGGGCTGTTGGCAAAAGGGCCGTGGCGCAGCCGGGTCGGTGGGGCCACAGGCTGAGAGCAGGACACCCGGTGTGGCACCTCCCCTGTCGCCTGCCCCCCAAGCCCAGCACTTCCTGTGGGTGAGGCCGCAGGGCTGGGAGGTGTGTCCTGCCCCCCAGGAGGCACCGAGACAGCCAGCAGGGGAGTTCGCAGAGGGCAGCTTCCCCACGCCCAGAGGAACCCACAGCTCCGGAAGGGGCTCGGCGGGCAGATTGCACCACAGCCCGACTTGGCAGCTCGGTCCCACACAGCCCCAGCTTCCCAGAACCCAAAGGAGGGCGAGGCACAGGCACACACAAACGTGCCTGTGAGGGAGATAGAGAGCCGGCTGGAAGGCTCGGGGGCCTTGCAGACAGGCCACTCACACCCACTCCCCTGAGCTGCCGGAGACGGGACCGCTGCCTTCCTGCTCCCGCAGGGCTCCGCACACGCCAGCTGAAGCAGCCCCACGCCTGCACACTCATGGGCACTCACAGGAGCACAGGGGCACACACACACGTGCATACGTATCCATGCACGGGCACAGTGGTGTGCTCACGCAAGCATCCTCAGACACCCACATACACACGCACACAGGCACGACACACTCCCATGCAAGTCCACACAGACCTTGCTCAACAGTGATACCTGCGTGTAGATCTCGTGTCCGCATCTCCCCACAAGACACAGGCTCACACAGGGAGGGAGACCCACGTGCACACACCCAGGCACACACTCAGACTGCACACACGCCCACGTACCCACGCAGAGGCACAGACCCCTTCAAGGGTCTAGACAGAGGTCAGCGGGGTCACCCTTCGTGCTGGTGATAGTGGGGGTGGGAGGGTGGCCCATGTGGGCGAGTGGGTTTCTTTCCTGCTGGAACTCAGCTCTGCGTGCACCCATGCCAACCGTGCGGGGTATGCAGTAGGTTCTCACTAATGACAGCCCAAGGAAGGGTGCGGCACACCCGCTAGCACCGGCCTGAGTGGGGAAGACCACAGCCGGGCGCCGGGCGCCGGGCCCCTGCCCTGCCCTCAAGCAGTGCAGAAAGGGAAATACAGTTGCCGTGGCCTTTTTCACTGGCCCACCCTCCCCACAGCTTCCTGTTTGAGACCCACTGCCACTCTGGGCGTCAGATGGGTGGGGCCACCCCCAGGTCATAGACAAAGGACACAGGCGTTTCTTTTTTCTGGACTCCTCCACAGCAGGAAAGGCACTCAGGTGGCGAGTAGCCCCCTAGATGGGCCACAGGACCAGCTTCAGGGCCCAGCCCAGTTCCGATCCATGAGCGGTAAGTACGGGGTCCTTTCGTTGAAGGCAGCTGGCCTCTCGGCAGAAGCCTGGCGGTCCTCGGTTCCGCTACATACTCCACCCCCGCCTTCACCAGGGAAGGAAGGACGGTGTGGCCCACCCTCTGGGGTTGCACCAGACCAATGGCTTCCCACTGGATGTCCACTGCACATCCAGATCTCTCCCCACACTGCACCCACCCCACACCCAGGAGCTGCTTGGCAGAAAGCATGGATGCTTGGGGTCCTGCCAGCCCCGCGTCCATGTGGCCTCTCTCTGGGTAAAACAGCTCTGTGCCCCATGCACTCCCAGAAGGAGCCCCGGGGCAGCCCAGCTAAGCAGGGTGCCTGCCCTGCCGGCCACAGTGACGCACTCAGGAGTGGGCAGGAGAACACTGCGGACCTCACTCCCAGAACACAGCCCCCTCCTGCCAAGGCTGCTAAACCACAGATGGACGCACAGTACATAGGAGAGTGGGGGAGAGAACAGGAGAAAGCGGGTCTTCGGGACATTGAACTCCTGGAGCAGCCAGCCTCTGGGCATGCAAGAGCCTGACATATATCCCATTATCCCTAAAGCCAACAGGAGCTGGATTCCTCTCACTCTCCACTGAGGAAGTCCCAACTAAGATCAAGAGCTCGGTGGGTGCAGTGGTGCAGGCGAGAAAAGCCAGCGGGCCGCTCAGCCCACCCCTCCCCACGCCAACTCCAGTCCTAGGCCCACCACGGCTCCGGGTACAGAGAGCGCCAGGTGAGAGCTGGGGCTGGGTGCCACACGGGTGACTAATAACACAATTCCTGTTGCAAATTACTTCCTTTTTTTAATCAATTAGAGGGAGATCATAGTGAACCCATCACTGAAGCCCATCATGTGCCGTCTTTCATGTGGGAGAGAATGAAGTGGGGTCATCCCAACAAGCCGGGGCGCTTCCAACCACACGTCAGCTAGTCTCACCTGTGTACACATGTGACCCTGTTTTCATGTTATCCATCACCTGGGGGAAGAGGCGGACTAGAGATGCTCTCACGCAGGCCCTCCTAGTAGACAGAGACAACTGGGCGAACACTGGGTGAGAGACCACAGCCCAGGATTGCTGCAGGCCCAGGCCCAAGCATCTGGAGGTCAGCAGTGCGGCCCAGGGACCCGACAGGAAGCAGCATTTCAAGGCCCCTGCTGCTGCCACCTGGAGGCTGGATTCTCCTATTTGGGGTTCTGGTCTCTTACATGGTAACCACAAAAGACAGGGCGCTTTGTGACTCAGACCCCAGGCCCAGGACCAGCAATGGCCTGGCGGCATCAGCAGGAAGGAGCACAGAACTCACAGTGTCCTGGATGTCCTCAAAGCCACTCAGATCCGGGAATCTTGGAGAGTCCAGACAGACCCATACCTTTCTGACTCCTCAGAGTGAGGGCCCGGAGACAGAGAAGTGAGGTTCCCAGATGACTTATATTTTACTCTCTGAGCTCTAGAGGGAGCTGAGAGCCAATCTAGAGCATCTCCCACTTTCCCTTCCTCAGCTCCAGTCTCCCGAGCCTTATAGCCGTGTGACCTTCAACAAGTCACCTAACCCGGGAGGCCTCAGTTTCCCCCTCTGTATTGTGGAGGCTGCCACCACGGCTTACAGGATTAAGTGCAGGGCTCCCACACCATTACAGGAGCTGTTATAACTAGAATCTATTACAATCCCGCCCCCTCCCCTGGTCCTGCTCAGCTTCCTGTCGCCCCTGCTCTGACCCCTCAGTTCCTGTTCTGTAGGGGGGTGGGTGGCGAGGGGTCCATGCACTCTCTGGGAAAGACCATGAGTCAGAGAAAAGAGAAGCACGCTGTGAGCCAGGCCCAGCCCTCCTACCCCCACCATGCACAGCCCAGCTTCCTCCCAGACCTCCGCTGACTCAGACGGCCAAGCCGTCAGAATGGAGACAAGGACAAGCCATGGGGATGGGGGAGCCAAGAGCAGCGCCTGTATCTGGGAGCTTCCTATGGGCGGTGCCAACCTAACCGCTTAGCTCCTCTTGGTCTCACAGCCACCTCTGAGATAACACCACTGTTACCCCATTTTACAGATGAGGACACTGACGCACAGAAATATCAAAGAACTTGACAAAATTTGCCCAGCACAATGGTAGCCAAGTTAGGTAGGATGCTGGAGACTGAGTTATCAGTCATTGTCCTATATGACGCTCTGCACTGGTGCCGATGGCCAAATCAACCTACACAAGGGCCCAATTCATGCAGCACCCATTTTACAGAGAAGAAAACTAAGGACCTGGAAGCACAGCACAGCTCAACAGCTACAAGGACGAAGTCAGAAAGAGCAAGTCCCCACATCCTTCTAATACCAGGCGAGACGGGCTCCTTCCCTCCTGAGCTTGCTCCTTGCCCCATCCACAGAGCCAGCTTAGGGTCACCAAATCACAAGGCCCTGGTTTCTGTGCTGGAGGCCTGTGGGTGCTCCTGGTCCAGGTGACAGACAAGTTCCAGCCAGAGCCTTAAGCCCAGGACAGAGCTCCGGGGGACCCACCCAGATATCCGGGCTTTAGGGGGATGTGGAGCTGAGAACACCAGCTGGGATCAGAGGAGGAAGCAGTCCGAGTCCCTGCCAACAGCCCCTGAGCCAGGTCTACAGGCCCTTGGGGGCAGGATGGAAGGGAGTGACCATGAGGTTTCCTCTGCTTGGACAGCTCTGTCCTCACAGCCACTAGTGGGAGCTGAAAGTGGAGACAAGCTCCTTTTCCAGGCATGGGGATGAGCAGTTATGGGAAGCTCAGAAAACAGAGGCCCCTGGAGAAGCAGGCACTATGTCATTAGGCCTAGATCCTCCCCTGTCCACATGGTGTGACCTGGCACCAGCAGTGACCTGCGGTGGCTCAGTTTTCCTCCCAACCTGACCACTGAACCACCCAGAACAGGCCACATACTCCTCAGGGGCTTCCGCTGACCTTTCCTCAAAGGGGAGGCTAGATTCACCCCTGCTTCCTTCATAAGCCAACTGAGGACAAAGGATAGTGGCAGAGAAGGACACTGATCTCCAGGAAAACAGGGTGGAATGGCATTCAGACCCAGCAAACCCGAATTGGTGAGAAATCCACACTTTGGGATGGCGACAAATGCACGTCTAAGATCTGCACTGTGATTTAGGCTGCACTGATCACTTCCCCACACGCGCTATCTCAGGGGCCAGACTGAATTTCTCATTGCACAAGTTCTGCAAAGCAAGACGGTGATGAAAATTTGCAAAAGCAATGCTAGTGAAAACCGGACTCCTGACCCCTGACTGCACGGTTTATTCTGACCTGCTCAGTACTGCCTGCCAAGAGAACTGCTCACAACACATGGCTGTGGACTGAACCACCATCAAATGGAGCACAACTTAAAAGTGTTTAAACAGGACACCTAGTGGGCTCAGTCCACCAGGCATCTGCCTTTGGCTCCAGTCACAGTCCCAGAGTCCTGGGATCGAGCCCCACATCAGGCTCTCTGCTCAGTGGGGTGTCTGCTTCTCCCTCTGCCTGCCTCTCCCCCTACTCATGCTCTCTCTCCCTCACTCACTCTCTCTCTAAAATAAATAAAATCTTTTTAAATAAATAAATAAAGTTGTTTAAATAATAACAAGGTACCCCTTTTAGCCATCAGATGGTAAAGGTTAAGAAACCTTGACAATGGT